GATGCCAGCCTCCCCTGGTGACAATGCACCTGGAGGTGGTGGACAGCAGACGTGGGCTGTCACTGCAGTGCACAGCATGTGTCCTAGGGAAGCGGATGCGTGCAGCCCAGGCCCAGCACTGCCACGAGCGCTGTGCAAATGATTCTGCAAGGAACCATCTCTGCTCTTCTTGTTTTACAAGATCTTATATGTTTGTCTTTTAAGAATAAGAGAGGGGAATCATCAAATGAAAACCAGTGGTCTTTGTAAACTCACTCAAATCACATAAAAAAAAGAATTTCTTTAAAAGTTTTTTTATTATTAAGAAGATATTTATTTAACAACCACAACATGGATGCTATTGCAAAAGCAACATCATCATTGTTGGGGACAGTTCTTTATGAAGTCACACTCAGTCACCCGTACATTGTATCTGTTTTTACACCTTGCTAGACTAATCAATGAAGTGTGTCAATTAATTTCTTGACTACTGCTCCCAAAGATGTAGATTATGGGTTAAAAAAAATAAAATTGACTTTTAAAAAATATTTATTAAAAAAATAAATAACCAGAGGGAGGAATAGTAACGTGGGCGATGTTTTTCCTCCCGATGTAGGACTTCTTGTCAAAAAGATGCTGGTGGAAGCCGCCAAGGACCCGGCCATGAGCGCGCTGGTCAACAACACCAGGGGGATGATTTTCTACAGCGTCCCTCACCACGGGTCGCACCTGGCCGAGTACTCCGTCACCTACCGCTACCTCCTCTTCCCCTCGCTGGAGGTCAAGGAACTCAGCAAGGGTAAGGCTACTCCTGCCACGGAGGCAAAGCACGCGCTGTTTTGCTCGAAGTGGTTGTTCGCTTCCGTCAAGCCGACGGTGACACACTGCGGCTCTGTGACCCCCAGATGGACACCTTGCCCTCTCCCGCCACACCCCCACGATCCCGGCCGTGCTCAAGCCCATCGATGCAGTCACGATCCCAAATGACCAGTGACACGCCATGTTCCCATGAGTGTGAGGAGCCATCAGTTGTAAAAATAGAGATGAACTTCTGAGGATTTTATTAGTTTTTATTTTTCATTTTTATTTTTGGTGTGTATACTGTGAAATCAGATCTGACTGGTACAGGAGGAGATTGTCCCTCCTTCTCCAGCAGAGCATCTAGTGGATTCGAACCGCTACCACTACCGCTTACCTCTGGAATTGCAGCGCAGCTTCTTGCCACTAGGCCACCAGAGCTCGCCAGCATCTACAGCTGGTGTTTTGATTAAAGAGCCCTGGTGGTGTAGTCTGTAACCTGCTGGATTGCTAACCAGAAGGTTGGGAGTTCAAATCCACCAGCTACTCCAGGGGAGAAGGATGGGGAGTCCTCTCTCGTAACGATTGACAGGCTTGGACTCCCAGTGGAGGGTTGCTGGGAGTTGGAACCATGGGATTTTGGGATGTGTTTGGATAGTGTTTTCTCTTGCTGCATCTCCTCTTTCTCAGAATCTTTCTCAGAATTTTGGCTTGAGCTCAGTGTGCAATTGGTTTTAACCATTTTTTTTCTTCCCATATTGAAGGAGCTCTGGTGGCATAGTGGCTAAGAGTTGTGCTACCAGCCCAAAGGCACACGGTTCCAGGCCACCGGCTGCTCCATGGGAGAAGGACGGGCAGTCTTCTCCCGTGCGATTTACAGCCTGGATTTACCCGCTGGAGGGTCAGCTGTGGGTTAGTTGTGACTCAGTGTCACACGGTGACAACTGTGTTGTAGACTACTGTGATTTTATCTGTGAAAGTGTCCATTTTTCCAATAATTTTCTTTTCCAAGAACTTTTTCCAATCTCCCCTTCTCAGTGGATGTATTCCCTCTTCCAGTCACTCCAGAGTTACAGAGACAGTTTTTGAAGGTTCTCTTGGTTTCTTTTGGAGCTCTGGTTGCACTGTGGTTAAAATATTTGGCTGCTAACCTTAAGGTGAGCAGTTTGAAGCCACCAGCTACTCTCAGGATGATGCCTTCTGCCTCCACAAAGATCACAACTTCAGGAACCGGACGAGGCAGTTCTGCACTGTCTTCAAGGTCTTTCTGAGTCTGAAGGACACAGTGACAGTGGGTTTGCTCTGGTTTAGCTCCGTGTCCTCGGATCAGGCTTCTGTTTGCCTCCTTGGCCTCTCTTAGGCTGTAAGCTCTCCCTTACAATCTAGGGCCTCTCTGCGGCACCTCCTCCTGTGATAAGGGAAGGGGTCCCGGGCCCTCTGTGACTCGTCTGGCCGGGTTGCTGGGGTGCTCTGGGTGTGTCTCCCCAGCACACTTGCTAGGGCGCTGCTTCCTGCTGGCAGGAACGGGAGGAACCCTTGCTCGGACAGGGCATCTCTCAGTCCCCGTGGCTCTCCTCCCTGGCTTCCTGGGGGGACACGTAACTGGTCCTCAGCTGCCCCGTCTAGATCCCGCTGTTCCCAGTTGGAGAAGCCGGGCTTTCTGGGCGGTGAGCAGCCCGCCGTTGATGGGCGTCTTCTCTCTGCCCCCAGACTCCCCGGCCCTGAAAGTGCTGCAGGACGACTTCCTGGAGTTCGCGAAAGGCAAGGACTTCCAGGTGCTCAGCTTCGTGGAGACGCTGCCCACCTACATCGGGAGCATGATCAAGCTGCACGTGGTGCCCGTGGAGTCGGCAGGTGCGTGCCCACCGACCTCGTGACACGTGGTCGAGCACTTGACTGAGCGCCCCCGGGATGCCCAGCTGTCCTGGGTCATGTGCAGACCGACAGGGCACAGGGTATCTGTCGTTTACGGAGATTTTATTAACGCTTTTTGTTACTGTCCAGATTTAGGCATTGGCGACCTCATTCCTGTGGATGTCAACCACTTGAACATTTGTAAGCCAAAGACAAAGAACGCTTTTCTGTATCAGCGTACTCTCCGGTTCATCCACGAAACTCTGGCCAAAGACCTTGAGAACTAACCGCTGTCCAGTCCCCTCATCACACGACGGCCTCCTCTCTCCAAGCCGAGAAGTCTCATGAACACGGTGACTGTGACACCACTAGTCTGGAATATTCTCCAGCCGAGAGCTTGCCGTCCCCAGTGCGGGAAGCAGAAAACACCACTGTAGACTACCAGCGGGGTGCTGTCCGGGAGCAGAGAGCCTGGGCTCCTCCCACTGCAGACTCCAGAGCACCCAGGGCACCCCTCAGCTGTGCCAAGCGGGACCCCAGGAGGAGCACAGGCGGCTCGGCTCCGAGGTCCCCTGAACCCTGGAGTGCCCTCGCGTGGAGGGAGGACAGAGGGGCCAACCACTCCGAGTGCTGTCAGCCCGCGAAAATACGGCCCGAAAACTGCCCAGCGTTTCCTCAGTGGACGCATTGTCCCGAGGGCGTCGGCTCCTTGCGTTTCTCTCTCGGCGTCACTGAGGGCAAACCTTTCCCTTTTTTTAACAAAAGCCTAGTTCGTGCTCATTTTTTCCAGCTCTCGCTGCCTGCACTGATCACTCGCCCCAGGTAAGGACAAAGTGTCTAATCCCTGCTTGACAGGAGTGTGAATAAAACTAAGCATCTGTCTGTCAGCGGTACTGGAATTGAGAGTCTCACATTGCCTCTAACAAATAAAGCGTCCTTCCGGCTCACTTGGGGGTTGTGTGAATTGACCTCCAGCATGCGAGAAGCCGGAAATGGTGAGGAGCTCTTTTGTTCGCTCTTGTAACAGTTGTGCTGAACTCCACACAGTCGACGTCTTTACAGTAAGGCTTGGTTTGTGGTATAGCCACACTTGTACAACCATCTCTACCATCTGATCTCAGTCTATAGACTGAGTTCATCTTCTTTAAAGGGCCTTTGCTCCCTGCCCCCTCCCCTATCCCCTTGAGGATGTTAATTGGCTGTTGGCTCCATGGCCTTATCCCGGACATTTCCGGTACGTGGAATCAAACATCATCTGCCCAGTTGTGATGCCTTCTGAGCAGGTTTTCAAGGATCAGCCGTGCCACGGCCGCCACGTGTCAGAACCTCGGCCTTTTTACTGTCCACTCGGAGGCTGTGCCACGTGGCACTTACCCACTCTTCTGCTAACGGACGAGCCGGTTCTTGAATGCTTTGCTCCTATGAATAATGCTGCTGGGAAGACTCAGGTTCAAGTGTGTGTGGACACACGCTTCTTCTTCTCGAGTGTGGGTGTGGGAGTGGGACGGCTGGCTCCCACGGCGACTCTGTGTGGGGTGCGTTGAAGATGATGGACTTCTGTGGAATGGGATGGCCAGAGCTGTAGGAGGAGTGGGGGTCTGACGGTGAGTGTACTTCAGTAAACCCTGTGAATGTCTGATTGTTTAATTAAGCAACAATTGAAGTGGCAAAACCATGTGCTTTCCTGCGGTGACACTGATTCCGTGTGGTGGTGGCTCACACCGGCGCAGCAGCTGGGAGACGGCCTGGGGAGGAGGCGTCTGTGTTTGCCGTGAACTATGGGGCGTACACTAACCTGTTCATGGATGTACAGTTATGAGCTGAAACCCCAATTTCTAAAAACCCCAGTTACCTGAATCTAGTCTTTTTAGCCGAGCTGCTCAGTTGAGATCTGGAGGGAGATCCAGTGTCCTTCACCGACCGTAGTTAGTTCTCCAGACAAGTCATTTCTCATTATTCTGTCTGTTGTCCATCTGCCCTTGTCAGAGGAATACAGTGCACCCAGATTCATTTGATCAGTCTTACAACATTTAAATCACTGCTTTAGGACAAGACATTGGCTGAAAACCTCATTAAGAACACAGAATGAAAAACAAATGGATTTGAAGTGGTCCAGACCTGAACCAGAAGTAAAATGGTTCTTCCCTTGTCTGAATCAGCCTTGTTTAAATGCCCTGTAGGAGAAATTGTGAGTGGAAGGCCACCTTTAAATTATCTTGCTTACGGCACCGAAGTCCAAAGTAGACCGGGAAAGTTAGAGGTGACAGTGAAGCCAGCTGTCTTTGTAACTTTTTCACTTCTCACACAGGCCACATTCGCACAATTGCACTGCTGGCTCTAAAACTGAGGGCCCCAGGACCCCTGTACCCTAGAGGACAGATTGCCACCTAAGGATGATTCAGATACACAGAAATGGGGTCCCTACACTCTTCTCAGTTCCTGACAACCAGGCCGTCTTGTGGTAGACATACCCTGTATTGTATGAGAGGGCTGGGGTAAGTAAGGATTTCATCGTGAGAAATGGACAGCATCACAAGGACTTCTGAATTTTGTTCCTACAGCCCCCCTTCAAGTTGTAATTTCCTGAAACAAGTGTGAAGCATGCCTTGCTGAATTTTCGTCTCTTTGTTAACAGTAACTACATTAATGTATGCTTTGGTTTTTATTGATATTTGGTATTTTATGTTAATAAATGTAATTTTAAAGGTTCCTCTGGGTTGGAGATTGAACACCCCTCAAATCACTTACAAATACTAGATCTTTAATCACTTAAAATTTTTACTACTGGATATTTGCTTTACAAAGAAGCAGTTTTTTATTGTAACTTAACAACTTGACACAGTGACACAGCACAAGTGTGTCAGAGATTGTGAGATTGACACAGGAGAGGCCGGGGCAGGGTTCACATTTGTTGTTCATTGGGTCACTGTGAGTTATAACTGATGGCACCTAACAGCAACAGCCTTAACAAGACATCCATACTTTGGACATGTTAGGAAACGTCGTTGTTGTTGTTGTTGCTGTTGTTTTTGTTGTTATGTGCCGGCTAGTCACCTGCAACTCATAGTGACCCTATGTACAACAGCCTAAACCCTGCTCTATCCCATGCCAATCTCATTGTTTCTGACACACCTACTCCCTTTACCCCAATCACTGAATTAATCCACTTCATCGAGAGTTTTCCTCTCCTGCGCTGTCCCTCCACCCTCCCAAGCATGACATCCCTGTCCAAGGACTGATCCTGCCTTGTAACATGTCCAAAGTATGTCAGACAAAGCCTCAGAATCCTTGCCTCCAAGGAGCAGCCTGACTTCATGCTCTCCAAGACGAACTTGTTGGTTCTCCTAGCAGTCCATGGTATATTCAACACTCTTCTCCAACACCACAGCTCAAAGGCATCAATTCTCCTTCTATCCTCCCTAGTTATTGTCCAACTCTCTGATGCATAACAAGTGATTGCAAAGACCATGGCGCACCTTAGTCTCCAGACTGACATCATTGCTCTTCAGTACTTTGGAAACATTAGTCCTTGGAAAGAAAGGTGGAGAGTCAGCGAAAGGAAGACCCTCAGTGAGATGGATTGGCACAGTGGCTGGAGAAGTGAGCTTGAGTGTCTATATTAGGGGTGGTGAGGCAGGCATAGGGCAGGGCCGGGTTCCGGTCTGCTGTTCACAGGGTCACCGGGAGTTGCATTCTACTCCACAGCACCTAACAACAACAGCAGCCCATCACTGATTCACGTCCAGCTCCCAGTGACTCTTGTCAGTCTCTTCAGGCTCTGAATGTCCATGGGTGGAGACCACCCATCTTTGTCCCACAGAGGAGATGGCAGATCCAGACGCCGGAGCCTGTACTTCAGCAGTGCAACACTTAACACGCCGTGCCACCAGAGCCGCTGCTTTGTAAAGCAGAAGGCCTACAAGGATAATGTCTGAGAAATGTTCCTTCTCAGAACAAGTCATGTGTGTGAGAACAGCTTGTTCTAAACTGTTACCTTCTCGTGGCTGGTCCTTAAAGTTTACAAATAGTGCTACAGCACCTTAACACCCAGGCCCAGAGATAGGAAAGCTTCGATTATTAGAAGTTAAGATTTTTTTTTTCATATCACCACAGTGTCTCAAAGCTGATCAATAAGCTGAATATGGGTAGGTGGGGATATTGTGGAAGGATCTCTTCAAAATGTGCATACAATATCTTAGAGGAAATTAAGCACTCACTCATAAAACAGATGAATCTACAGGCCAGGAGGATGTCCTAAATCTTCCCTAGTAAAGGATATCTAAAAACATTAAAACATCTAGACAGTAACTTGATACAAAAGGAGCCAGAAAAGGAGGCACAAAACACATGGGGCTAAGAAAACAAGCCTAGAGAGGGGCCCACGTGAGGGGATGCCCTGTGAGGGCCATGCAGAAAGACGCTTTCCTACATGGAACTGGGCTGAAGGCTGACGGGAGAGGGAATCTGACTTCCTTCACCTAGAAACAAAAATCACTGCTGGATAACAGACTTGGAGTGCAAAGAGCTAAACTCTTGAATCCAAAAGTTAACACAGGATACTAACTTCATAATCCTGGCGTAGGGAGGTACCCTAAGTTCCAAAAAACACTAGCTATAAAATAAATGCTTTAAATCAAGTGGTCGGGATTTCTTGTCAAAAGACCCAATAAAGAGAGTAAGAAGAATAATCACACAGAGAGAGGTCTTTGTATAACCAAGAGGACTCATGGGGACTATATAAAAATCCCTGCAGTCAGTCAGAAAGGTCCAGCAGAAAAACAAGGAGGAGACCTAGCTATTAGGCCTCATAAAGTTGAATAGAACACATAGCGACCCTATGAATAAAAGATCCGAACCCTGTTCTGTCCTGCGCCATCCTCACACTTCCAGACACACAAGAGCCCATTCTTCATTCATATTGTGTTTCATACAATCATTTCTATTCATTGTTATGTGGCAACGAGTCACTTGCGACTCATAGCGACCCTATGTACAAGAGCCCTAAACACCATTCTATCCTGTGCCAATGTAGCCATTTCGAAGGCACTCATTCCCGCCACTCAGAGTCCATCCATCTCATCAAAGGTCTTCCTCTCCTGCGCCGTCCCTCCACTCTCCCAAACATGATGTCCCTCTCCAAGGACCAGTCCCTCCTTGCAACATGCCCAAAGTATGTCAGATGAAGCTTCAGAGTCCTTGCCTCCAAGGAGCATTCTGGCTTCACCCTCTCCAGGACAAACCTGTTTGTTCTCCTAGCAGGGTATTCAACACTCTTCTCCAGCACCAC